TAAATTCAGCCTTGGAAAAACTTACTTAAAAAAAAATAAAAATAAAATAATATATATATATATATATATAATATTATTATTATTCAACTGGTTGCCAAATCACCATTCCTCATTTTCATTAAAATGATATATATATAGATACTAATTACAAATATTAATAAGAACTATAATAGTATCTAGTCTAAATGTTTCTCTAGTTTTGAATTTGACTGAGATAAGTTATAAAAAGAATGGAAAACAATGCTAAATATCATCTCAGTTGAGTGACTTAATGCATTTAGCAAAAAAACTCATTTACAAACCTCAGATACAACTCATGTGTATGGACCTAAACATCCCGGTAAATCCATGAGGTAGCTCCAGGCTTCTCCACAACCCAGTGCATTCTCAGTGCATTGCAGCGTCATGTCAGGACATCCATATGCATGTGACATCTCCGACAGAAAATTCCTGAAAGTGGTGTGACACGACAGACACAATCACGGCGTAAAGCAACAATGCTTCTGATCGCTCACTTCCTTTTCTCTATGCAGCCTCAAGCGGCTTTAGCCTCTTATGAGATTAGACTCTTCACTCCCAATATACCCCCAGATAAATTCCACACTACATTCATCTGCCCATCCTATGACCTAACAGTGGGGTGATTTGTGCCCTCACTTTAATTTCATTCAAGCTGTACTGTAGTAAGGAGGGAATTGGGAATTGTGCCAAAAAGGGAAGTATAGTGCAACCTCTTAGTGTCAGGTGCCTGAAGGTCGTTACTTATAAGACACAGGATTAGTGTGATAGTCACAGTACATGCCAATGAGACAGGGATACATTACTGCTAGTAGGGAAAAAAACAGTTTGTGGAATTTGAAAAAAGTGATGACATACATAAAGTTTTAGAAAAATAGAGGATTCAAAAAGGAGTTTTTGCAGCCAAGCCATTTTATGGTTCTCTAAAGAACCTTTAAGTGATCCGTTTTTAAAAGAACCATGTTTTTCTTAGTGTAAAGAACATTTTGATAATCCAAAAAACCTTTTCCGCTATATAGAACCTTTTGTGTGATGGAAAGGTTCCATGGATTTTAAAGCAACTGCATGTAGTTCTGTTTATTTTTGTTACCTTGGAGCCCCCTACAGTAAAATGAGTGGTATTTACTGTCGTAAATAGAGTATATCACTGTCGTAATTACGGTGGATAGCTGTACCCATTCGGACATACTTCTTTTGTCACATACTGTTTTTCGCTTACTATATAGCAGGGAATTTTGCATGCAGCCATCTGTTCTCCATAGCTCTCGCGTTACTTTGATGTCATACATCGATAGGTCTGCACAGCACGCGTCAAAGCAGAGCACACCAAATGGCAGTGAAGTGACGCAACTGATGCTGATAGGTCATGTGACAATGACAACATACTGTATAGTACGTCCAGATTACATTCATACTATAGGTTTATAGAACCTACTTTTGCAGTCACGAAGTAATTACTTCTTCAAAAAAGTACCTCAAGAGAGTATAACATGCGATTTCGGCTGCAGCCACAGTGTGCCGTGATGCAACTGATGTTGAAAGGTCACATGACAATGACAAAATGACGAATATTGTACGTCCAGGTGTTGAGCCGAATCCTGACCCCCCCCTCAGATTATTAGCCCCCTATAGTATTGGTAGGTGTAGAGCAGAGGTTTCCAAACTCAGTCCTGCAGAGTTTAGCTCCAACGCTAATCAAACACACCTGAACCAGCTAATCAAGCTGTTACTAGAAACTTCCAGGCAGGTGTGTTGAGGCAAGTTAGAGCTAAACTCTGCAGGACACCAGCCCTCCAGGACCGAGTTTGGAGAACTTATTAGAAGTCAGTGTACCATCTGAATGATTTTGAAGCTGACATTTCAAGGTAAAAAATAAAAAATTAAAAAACGTTTATTTTTCAGAGCCTAAAATAAACAATAGCCTATTTTAAGCAAAAGTGTTTTTTTTTTTTGGTACCTCCTTGACAGACTTAAAGACCACAATCAGAGCACACGTTCCCAACATTCTCCCTCTGCCCTTGAAGAGTGTCCTGAGGATAGGGGACGGCCAGGTATCTGAGCCCCGGCATTAACCCACGTCCAGTTTAGCTTTAATCTGAGACAGAGCAAGATTATTACCTCCCAACAGAGACCTGGAGCGAATAACCTGTCATTCTCAAACTTTTATACATTTTGCTTGCATAATGGAAATAAAAACATCCGGATGCTGTCACTTTTCAAGTTCATCCAAGAAGATCCAATGATTTACAATGATTAATAAACAAAGTAATACTTGAGGTCATGTTAGCAGACATTTGCTCTGCCCTCATAAATGAACATTAATTAGAGTACATTCAGTGTTAAGAGAGAATTGTAAACATACAGTATGTAGAAAGATTGTGCTCTGCTGTCCTCCTCATGCACATATAACAAATTTACGCAAATATTAAAATATGAAACTTCAAAATTTGAAAGACATAAATCATATTTGTTGCTGTTCTCAAGTATTTTGCACTGACTTCTAAAATGCAAAACTATAAGTTGGTCTCAATGAATATACTGTTCTTAAAGCAGCACTATGTAACTTTTGGCGCTCTAGCGGTTAATAAACAGAACTGCACGCATCCCGCGGAAGAACATTTCAACCGGAGCTACTTCTCTAAGTTTAAGTCTATGCTGCTTTAATTACTGTTGTTTTGAGTTTAATTCTTGAATATAAAGAAATACACCATACTCATAGGCTAATTGTTATAATAACATGATAAACTTGAGTCACTGTTGTTTATAACAGTAATCAGAAATGTCTGGGGGGAAAAAATCATGAAATATATTTAAATCAACCCACAGAAAATATTAATCATGGTAAAATATTAAACTCAAATTTTAAAGTCATATTCATTGCCATTTTGCCATGTTCTCAGTATTTTGACTTCAAAATTGTAATGAATAATTTGTGTGTGTGTGTGTGTGTGTGTGTGTGTGTCAGTAGTCTTTTGTAACGACCATTTATTTATTTATGTATGTATATATGTTAATGGTCAAAACAACATAGTAACAAGTAACAAAAAATGAAAAACAAAATAAAACAGAAGAGAAAAAGAATAAAATATCAAGTTTTAAGAAAGTCACTAAAAACAGGAACAGAATTACAACAAATTTTATAGTTAACGATGACAATTTAATCACTGGTAAAAACCCTTATCAAAAACCTGTTCCTTAATTTCATCACCAAGGAAGTGACACTTTTATTTATTTACTTTTTTGTTCAGCAGACCAAACGTTATTAAATATAAGCACTGAATTTGATGAACTGTGGGATGTTTTGTGGTGTTGGTTTGTATCACTGTAAGCTACAGTGTAACTGTCAATCCTCTCAATGTCTTTATTCCATCCGGTTTAGCATCCTAAACTAAATGCCCACAAGTCTTCACTTATGAGCCAAGGGCACTGCTCTTTATTCCAGGAAAAAGCGCCACATAATAAAGTTAAAGAGATGTTCCTCGGGTCATCTTATCATGGTAACAAGAGTCAAGCACATATGGTTACCTGGTCATTGGGAGGTTTCTTTTCCCCATTGACGCCCTTCAATAGCACGGACTCCTCCGTCTTTTTTGCCTTCATCTCTACGACGATGTCCTCTTTGTTAGTCTTCTCCTTGGTGCTGTAGGCATTCATGCTGTAGAGATTAACACACCGATACACCACACTGCAACATTTGGCTGCATAGATGTTTTTCTGTACTTCTGAACTGAATTATATATTGCATATGCAATTTGCTGTTAGAAAGTTTTGTCAAAATCCCTACAAGAAGTGAATCAAAAGTTTGGACACAACTGACAAAATTTGCTTCTCATGATTGTAAAAACCGTTTGATCTTCAAATGCTTATTTTTGCAGACAAATAAATATGACCCATATGAATTTCTTTTCTAGAATTGTATTATTTTAATAGGGTCTGTTTATAAACATTTGTAACATGAACATGAAACACATGAAACTTTAACAGCATTTAATGATCTTGGTTAATGTTCATTTTTATGTACACTATCATTCAAAAGTTTGAGGTCAGTAAAATTCGTTTTTTTTTCCAATGTATACTTTTATTCAGCAACAAAGTATTAAATTGATCAAATGTGACAGTAAAGACAATTCTAATGTTACAAAAGACTTCTATTATTTCAATTAGATTTCTATTTCTATTATTATTATTATTTATTACTAAAATCTTGAAAATATGTGTAATGTTTTCAACATTAATAATAACAGGAAATCTTTCTTGAGCAGCAAATCAGCTTATTAGACTGATTTCTGAAGGATCATGTGACTGGATTAAGACGGGAGTAATGGCTGTTTTGGATCACAAGAATAAATTGTTTTAAAATATATGAAAATAAGCACAATTATTCTAAATTGTATTATTATTTACATATTAGAATAAACATTTTTTTTTTTTTAAACTTGCTGACCCCAAACTTTTGAATGGTAGTTTATACCAATACATATTTATTATTTTAAGTTATAAAAAATAACATTATAATAGTACGAATGAACATGAATTAACAATGAACAAAGTATATTTATTAAATAACATTGAACCTAGATTAATAATAAATTGTTTTAAAATATATGAAAATAAGCACAATTATTCTACATTTTATTATTATTTACATATTAGAATAAAAAAAAATTTTTTTTTTAAACTTGCTGACCCCAAACTTTTGAATGGTAGTTTATACCAATACATATTTATTATTTTAAGTTATAAAAAATAACATTATAGTAGTACGAATGAACATGAATTAACAATGAACAAAGTATATTTATTAAATAACATTGAACCTAGATTAATAAATTCTGGAAAAAAAATCTTTTAGTTCATGACACCTACTATAAACTGAACTTGACTGTAACATGCTACATTAAAATTTTAATTGAAGTTTTCATATTATTCAATATTTTCATGACACAATAATAGAGATGCCCAAACTTTTGACTGGTAGTATACCATGGTACTTAATATGTCGTGTAGCATGTTGTACTAAAGGATACCATTGCAAAACACATGATAATACCATGGTACATATATACTATAGTACCGTACAAAACATATTTATTATTTATTTTAATACTTTTTAAAATGTATTTTATTCAAATGATTGATTTATTTATTTAATGTTATTTTTTTGTTGTTTACTTATTTTTACATTTTTTAATACAGTTTTTCTTTCAACTTTCCCACAGATCCCCTAGCACTTCCTCACAACCCCTGTACTAATGTTTACTAAAAAACTGGATAGAAGGGGAAAAGTATTACATACATTTCTTGCTTGCCTGAGCGTCCACAGGGTAACTTGCCCTTTTTATACAGGAAGTAGAAGACACTGCCCAGGATGGCCAGCAACAGGATGCTGACAATGATCACCACAATAATCACTCCACTATTATCAGCTGGAGAGAGAGAACAACAGATGCCAACATTAGTATGACTGACTGATATATAATAATAACCAACGAACTAGTGCCATTTCAACAAGACACAATAAATTCATGCTGAAATGCAATAAATGGGCTTTCAGGCAAATTACAAACGCGAAATACCCTACTAGATCACGAAAAGAGCACTAAAGGACACATTACACTGCACTTTGTTAACAATGGCTGCATCATTTGTATTCAAAACATGTGCCACATGACAAGGACACGTGTCCTTATAAATGAGACGAGTTTGGTATGAAACATATAATTAGTCAAATGGAATAAGAGACTCAAATTCCTCAGAGTCAAATAAAGAAAATTAAGGAGTGCCATTCAGAGGAAGCGTCATCAAATGTTATAAATAAACAGAGAGACAAGAAGCAATTGTCTGGGAATGAATTTTATGGGTTAAATCTACTCAGTAAAACAGCAGGCCGCCACCACAATCTTCACCATAATAGTTTAACAGTCTCAGTTGCAGCCCAGCACTTCAAAACATTTGTTAAAATATTCACATTGAACTAATTATACATTCATCTTGGAAAACATTCAGCACTGGATCTGCCCCTGCTATCTGAAGTAATGTCTGCTTCAATTTTTGCTTGCTTTTTTTTTTTTCTCTATGAATTCTCTTCACACAGAATTTTAAATATGCCCAGAGGCCGACATGAAGAGCTGCTGCGGAGGCTTTGCCATATAAAATCTATGAATTATTCAAGTACATTAGATGATCTTTCATTGTTTGTTAGGGTTGGATTTTGCAGGGATGAAATGGACTGGGTGTTGATTTAAAGCATACGATCCTTTCTAACAGACCTAGACTGACAGAAGAGGGGGGGAAAAAAAGTTACCTGAGGTTTTTCTAGCCGTTGGAGTTTGGGAGAATGGAACTGGGAGAAAAGAACAGACAACATTAACATTTTTTATTCCAAACAACCAATATTATCAAAGAAATCAAACATATCCTATTCACTCTGACACCGTGCCTCATCTAAAGTTGAAAAAAAAAATGACTTGGTTAAAATGCATTATAAATCTGATGATGAGATGTTTTTGAAAAGTAAAGACATTTATAACATTACAAAAGTATGTTAAAATATTAAACAGCTCAACTGGTTTTAAAGGGGTCATATGATGCGATTTCAATTTTTCCTTTCTCTTTGGAGTGTTACAAGCTCTTGGTGCATAAAGAAGATCTGTAAAGTTGCAAAGACTAAAGTCTCAAATCCAAAGAGATATTCTTTATAAAAGTTAAGAGTCAACCACGCCTACCTAAAACGGCTCGTTCTAACACACCCCACATGTCTACGTCACGATGTGAGAAGATTTGCATAACGCCGCCCAAACGTTCACGCAAAGCAAATGCAGACATGGTTTTATGTTTACGCAGCGCGATACGCAACGCAACGCCTAAAAAGACTGTATAAGTCATTATAATCCGTAATTATGTCCCCACTGGATGCAACAAATGCCTCGTTTATAATGGGTTTTATTGGTGTTGTCTCATTGCACTAGGACACAGAATCACAGTATGGTAGGGGGCGTAACATTTCCGTCACACACTTGAGGTATTCAGCCAATCACAATGCACTGGATAGCTGGCCAATCAGAGCACACCTCGCTTTTCAGAACGATGAGCTTTGTAAAAATCGACGCGTTTCAGAAAGGCGGGGCATAGAGGAGAAACAATAATCCACCTAAAACGGCTCGTTCTAACACGCCCCCACATGTCTACCTCACTATGTGGGAAGATTTGCATAACGCCGCCCAAATGTTCACGCAAAGAAAGAAAGCGTAACTTTTTTTTTCACTGTAGTATTGTTGTTGCCGCCACCGCCATGTCGTTATGAAAGCGAAACTACTTTGTTTGGTCTTCCAAAAGAGGACGATATCCGCTTCGTCAACAAAATAATGTTCTTTTTAGCAACGTCATATGACCCCTTTAACATTGATAATAATAAGAAATGTTTCTTGAGCACCAAATTAGCATATCAGAATGAAGCATCATGTGAAACTGAAGGATGTGGTGAAATGATGCTGAAAATTCAGCTTTGCTTCACAGGAATAAATTACATTTTAAAATATATTCAAATAGAAAACAGTTCTTTTAAAATGTAAAAAATATTTCACAATATTACTGTTTTTACGATCATTTAAATGCAGCCTTGGTGAACATAAGTGACGTCTTTCAATAACATAAAAAAAATTGACCAACTCAAAACTTGCACAATAGTGTACTTATACATTTTATAAATTAATAAAACATAATTTTATACATAGATAAAATTATATAAAACATGTAAAAAAAAAGTAACAATAATCTAAGTATAGATATTACATTTATATTAAAAGAAATGTTGCTAAATAAATGTTTATTATTATAATACATTTAGTCATTATATTTAAGTGTCATATTTAACATTAATATTCAAATATATTATATATGAAATCATAATTGTCATGATTAATAACAGTGATTATTCATTATTAATAATTATTATTATTCTAAAATGTTTAATAATCAACTGGATGTGCCCTGATTTTCAGTGTAAATAAGGAACATTAACACTTACTGCTCCTGATGCTGTAAGTCTTGGTCTCTATTCCAAAGTCATTTGTTGAATTGCAGACAGCAACCGTGTCAGTGGTAACTTTAAGCATCACAACGCTGTGGACTTGATCCTCCGTCTCTCTTTTAACCACCTCACGCCAGCTCTGAGACTACAACACACACACACACACACACACATAAACAAGACAAAAGCGTCAATCCACAGCTCAGTGTAACACGAGCAGTGCGCTGAGAGGAAATCTGTGTTACCTGACTGCCGGTGATGCTCCAGGTGATGGCGGGTCTAGGGTAGCCTCTCACCTCACAGCTCAAATTCACCCAACCCCCGACTTTCTCCGTCAGCTCAATCTCCCTCTCTGCATCCTTCATCTGAGGGGCGCCTGGAGGAACAGATCCAGCAACTATTTTAGAAATACTAAAACTAAATATAAAGCTCTTTTGGTGAGTTTCAGCAGTTTAAATCACTTGATGAGCTCTTCCCCACCCTGTACGATAATATGGACAGAACCGCTGGTCAGCAGGCCTGGAAGAGACGGTACAGTCACCTCACAGTCATACTGTCCAGATGTGTCAAACGTGGCGTCCTGCAGCTGCATTATGTGTCCCCTTCCAACCTCAATCCCATCCTACACACAAACAAACGTGTGCAAACAAATTTAGTGACGAACGGACAGAGTGAAAAGAGGCTCTAAACGGAATGTGGGAGACCAAATGAACGTGTCTAGAGTGCTGAAAGATAAGTGAATCACACTGTAGCGTTACCTTAAACCACACAGTAGACGTCTCTAAAGACGACAGGGCATTGCAGGTGGCTGTCAGACTCTCTCCTTTCAGCATGACCTCAGAGTCTTTGGGCACCACCACAGCTGGGTCCAGATCTGAGCACACACACATATACGTGAACGGTCAGTGACTCAGAGTAAAAGCCTTGTTGTGAGCGTTACTTGAATTATATCAGCTTCATTTAATGAGGGTGAATAAATGATGACAGAATTGTTAATTTGGGGTAAAGTATTGCTTTCATATTGCTCCAGCAAAATATCACTTTTAACTTAAAAATATCATTTTTTGAATCCATTTTTAATTAAAATGCTTAATGAAATAATATAATTAAAACAAATGCATGTATTTTGCAACATAAATAGAAAATGTGGAAGAATTGAGGCCTAGTGAACGTGAACCTAGGGAAGTTTTATTTTTCAATAAAGGGTGTAACTCATACTGCTAATAATGTTGGCTCCTTTATGTTAAATTATTTTTGTCATTTAGTTTCTCATTTAAATCACTTTGGACAAAAGCATCTGTAAAATTAATAAATAAAATTTTGGAGTCGGTAAGATTTTTTTAAAATGTTTTTGAAAGAATGCTATAATGCTCACTAAGGCTGCATTTATAAGTGATACTGTGAAATATTATTACAATTTAAGATATCTGTTTTATATTTTAATATATTTTAAAATGTCATTTATTCTTCAAATTTCAGCATCATTACTCCAGTCTTGAATGTCACATGATCCTTCAGAAATCATTCTAATATACTGATTTGCTGCTCAAGAAACATTTCTTGTTATTATCAATAATCAAAGTTGTGCTGCCCATTATTTTTGTGGAATCCGTAATAAATTTTTTGTTTCAATATTTTTATGGATGAATAGACAGTTCAAAAGAGCAGCATACAATTGAAATAGAAATCTTTTGTAACACTATAAATGTTATTAGTGTCATTTTTGATCATTTCAATGCATCCTTGCTAAAAAAAAAGTATTAAAGGGGTCATATGATGCGATTTCAAGTTTTCCTTTCTCTTTGGAGTGTTACAAGCTGTTCGTGAATAGATCCCTAAAGTTGCAAAGACTAAAGTCTCAAACCAAAAGAAATCTTCATTATCAAAACGCATTTCAGAAAGGCGGGGCATAGAGGAGCAACAATAATTTACAGTATGTGGAAAATAATGTGTTTTTTGAACCTTAAACCGCATAAACACATTTCATTACACCAAACACACAAAATAATGTTCTTTTTAGCAGCATCATTTGACCCCTTTAATATAAAAATCTTATCTTGAATGGTAGAGAAAATGTTAATTATTCAACATTATTAAGTGTCAACAAATTTGGCAACAATACTGATAGATGATTAGATTATGCTGGTGTTACTGTGTGTGAAAACTTGAGAAACTGGAAGTTGAACTCACAGTGCACAGTGAGCTGTAGGGTGTCCAACACCTCATCATGGTTCACGGCATCCACATCCAGAGAGTGACATTCATACACACCGCTATCTGCACGAGACACTTCCTTCAGAACCAGCAACCCTGGTTTTATGTATGGAGAGGAATCCAGCTCCACATCTGACTGTTATGAGCAGGACACACAGAAGAGTGTGAATGTCTATTATACATTCATCCATAGACCACAAGTAATATTATACAGTGAGTAACATGAAATTAAAAAAAAAAAATTATGATACAATCCCTTTATGTTTTTTCAATAAAGTCTGAGTAAAGTCTAGCAGTCATTCTACAGCAGTGTTTTTTAACTGGTCTGCGGACCACTTGATATCCTTTACCAGTGTTGTTATTGTTAACTAAAACTTAAAAACTTAAACCAAAATAATTAGAAATGTTACCTTGGCAACTCTGAAATAAAACGCAAAACAATAAATTTAACAAAATCATATTATATAAATAATACTAAAATAACACTACCCTTCAATTAAAACTATATATTAAAATTATTATATATTATAACTATCTAATGTAATTATCAAAAAGCATCATAATTGAATTCTTTGATGGATTAATCAGCTAAGACAAAGAATTACCTCTATAATTGTTTTAATATTATTTCCGGACTAATTAGCGTTAATTACTGTTGTCTCACTTCAGAAATGTAACATAATTGAACACTGACATTTATGTTACAGAGTTTGTAGGGGTTCAGTCCAATTTGTTATAGAAAAAAGTCTGGGCTGCGTTTCTCGATAACGATTGATCTTAGCGCTTAAGAGCGTTTTCTACGAGTCAATTTACGATCGTTCGTTATTGTTTCACGTGCGTTTCCCAAAAATGCACTTAACACAATCGCACGTAGCCGTACTTTAAGTGATACTTAGGAGTCGCTATCCTTTTGTCAAGTGCTGAAATGTCACCTTATAGAATGGTTCGTAATTGTAGTACACTCTCGTTTATTGAAATGTTAACCTAATGCTGCGTTCCAGACAACTCGGATATAATAACTCCCAGTCTTTGAAGCATATTTCCTACATTACTCTTTTATTTATTTATTTATTTTGTTCAGTCATTTAATTTAGGTGTGTATTTCTATTTTTTTCTGCTCCTGATTAATAAAGTTCTTTAGCTAAAAGGTACAGTTAAGTTATTTCAAATAAAATAAAAAATCGCAATTTGGCACAATTACAGACTGCCCTTTTTAGCATAGATTGGCATAGACTAAAGAATATTTAAAACTGCACGTAGTTGTTTTGAGGTAGTTGGTACTTCTCCTCAGATTTGCAGTTTTTGCTTTACTGAAGTGGTCTGCCATCTGCAACATTTGAGAACCACTGTTGTAAAGTCATTTTGTCATGTTGTCATTAAAGCAAATGCATATTAAACACATACTTGAAGCTGCAAGTCAGTTATGGTACTGTTCACTCTGTGCATATCAAGCACATTGTCTGGGCCAGACGTCTACTATGTCCACTTCTTCTCATTGCTTTACAGCCTCCCATTCAGAAAAAACGGGTCCAAATAAAAGAGAAAAAATTGACTATTCTCACTTGTTCTTGGTTGAAAATGATGGGTGCTGGGGGGTTCCCATCGCCTTGACAACGGATCTCCACTGTGTCCCCCTCTTTGACCAAGCCCTCGGGCGATTCTTTCCATATCTCCACGCTGGTCGTGGGGTCTATATGACATATGCACATAACAAAGAGCAAAGGGCCATGAATCTTATTTCATTCAAATGTATCTCGCCAAGGCAACATAATTCTCATACTCAGTTATTTAGTCAGTGCTGACAAAGCAAAGACCTTTGTAGCTGTGTCACAATTAACACAACTCAAAATGGAGTTTACCATTAGCAGTGACCAGTGCTGGGTAGTAACTGATTACATGTAATCTGGATTATGTAATCAGATTCCAAAAATTAACAAAGTACTTGTTATTACATTATATGTTTTAAAATGCTTACAGCATTTACAGTTACTTTTTTTTGTTTACATGATTGCATATTATTCACATTATTCAAATAAATTATTTGTAATTTATTGATTTTCCCTAATTATTCTTTTTTCTCTTTCGCATTTCTCTTTACATTGATAAGCAACTTGCAAACCCCCTGAGGTTCTTTCACAAACCCTAGTTTGGGAAACCCTGACGTAAAGTGATATTTACAGTATTTCTTGTTGTTGATAGCAAACAATGGAAGATATTTTCTTTCTCTTTCTATTTTTATATCAGTGTGGTACAAAAGATTCCTATTTAAGTCAATGTGACTTGAGTCAAAAGTAATCTAAAAATAGTCAACAAAAGTAGTCTGATTAGATTACCTAAAATGTGTAATGTGTTACGTTACTAACTACAATTTGTATCTACCCAGCATGGCCTGTGAAACACTAAAGCTATCTGAAATATAAAAAACAGTAAAATACAAAACCATGTTAGATCTGTCAGATTTAATGTGATCTTTTAACCTTAGTGGAATTTCGGACCAATGAGATTTCACAGTGGGCGGAGCTATCCAGCACATTGCAACAGATACAAAAACCCAAGCATCCAAGCAGTGTTATTTAGCTTGTCCCAGATGCAAGAGTTTGAATATATCACATTCCACTTCATCAAAAACTCTCAATCATAAATGGACTTACAATGAACTGTAATATTGATGCCTTTGGACTCGGATGTCCTGACAGCTCCTGGGACAAAATAGCTGACTTCACAGGAAAAGTGGGCGTCTTTGTCTTCCTTGGTCACCTTATAATGCAATTCACTCTGCACTGTATATAGACCACTGGATTCCTTCGTCACTAGCGTTACCACGTTCGCCACTGACATGAAACACGCACACAACCAGACATACATTCACATTAGTGGCAATATTTAAGAGGAAACAGAACTTAATTCTCCATATAAACCTTGCTGGAAAAACCAGGTCATACCATCTTTAGGAGTAGCAGGTTTTTAGAACAATGTTGCTTGTTCAGTGTGGTCTACCAGCTCAAAAGAGCTTGACCAAGATGGACTACCAGGCCAGTAAAGGTTCCACCAGTCCAGCTGACCAAACAATGAACACAGCCTGGACCAGCTAATGACCTAATAACCAGCTACAGCTCTAAAGTCAACATGAAACGTGTTCGCAACTCAGGACCGAATTTTCTTCATTGGGCATTAACTGGATTGTGAATAATAGAGATTTTTTAAAATCATTATAATAAAGCAATAAGCCCCAAGAAGCCGTGGTTTACAGTGAATTTATAACAGCTAAGGGGCGCTGTTAGGCACGACGCAAAGCGGAGTGCCTAAAACCCCCTTAGCTGTTATAAATTCACTGTAAACCAC